GGAGGGGCAGAGAGAGAGGGAGACACAGAATCGGAAACAGGCTCCAGTGGGCACGGAATTTGAACCCAGGCTGGACCAGGTCTACACCCTGAACACCCTTAACCAGGCCGACGTAACCCTTAGGATCAGCGCCCAGGCACACGATCCCCTCCTTACATGCTTCCCGGTCTCCAGGCCCCGAGGCATCATACCCCCACCCCTCCATGGGTGTGCCCACCACCCTCCTCCTCTCCCCCATCCCCACTTACTCTGCCTTGAAGATCTGCTGTATTGGAGAGAAACATTCCTAGAAGAAAATACAGAATTTAGGGTGAGAAAAGTTCCCTAAAGCTGAAGCCCAGGCCTCCCACTTTGCAGACGAGAAAACTGATATGTGGGACACGCACAGAAAATGATACAACACGCGCATGGTTACTATTCTTGGGGGGTGATACTACTGCTGTTCATGAATCAAACCCTGCAGGCTACTCGTTCCTTGCGCTGAGCAGTTTGCACACGTGACCTCAATCACGTGTGTTCATAATCATACAAACACATTTCTTGGGTATTTACCCTACGTCTCATTTAATCTTTAACACCATCAATAGGTACACACTGTTATGGGCTCCAATTTTTTTCTTTTTAATTTTTTAAATGTTTATTTTTGAGAGAGAGAGAGAGAGAGAGAGAGAGAGACAGAGGGCGAGCAGGGGAGGGGCAGAGAGAGAGGGAGACACAGAATCCGAAGCAGGTTCCAGGCTCTGAGCCATCAGCACAGAGCCCTACGCAGGGCTCAAACCCAGGAACTGAGAGATCATGACCTGAGCCGAAGCCAGACGCTCTCCAATTTTTTTTTTTCTTAAACAGCTTTATTGAGATATCTTCCTCCCCTCCCCCACCGCATAGAATTTGCTCATTTTAAGTGCACAACTCAATGACTTTTAGTAAGTTTACAGGATTGTGCAACTATCACCAAAATCAAATGATAGAGCATATCCAGCATCCCCAAAAGATCTCCTGTGCCCGGTAACAGTCACTTCCCATCCCCACTCCCAGCCCCAGGCAACCACGAATCTACTTCATGTCTTCACAGATTCTCCTTTCCTGGGCAGTTCCTAACAATGGATCATACAATAGGTGGCCTCCCATGTCTGGCTTCTTTCACTCAGCATACTGCCTTTACGGTTCGTCCACACTGCACATTTTACCAGTACTTCATTCTCTTTATGGCTGAGTAACGTCCCCTTGCAGGGCATATCGCATTGTGTTCGGCCATTCATCTGCTGATGGACACCCGGGTCGTGTCTGCTCTTCGCCTGTTATGAATAGTCCCACTGAGAACACATGGGACGACCCTTCCTGCGGACATGGGTTTTGTTCTCTTGGGCACACTCCCAGGAGCAGAATTGTTAGGCTGTGAGAAAAGCTCATGATACACTTTTTAAGAAACTGTCAGAACTGTTTCCCAAAGCAGCCACACCACTTACATCCCATCAGGGAGATATGAGGGTTCCCCACGGGGGCTCCATTATCCGGAGAAGGAAGCTTAGTGAACTGACACGCCCGGGGTCTCTTGGCTGGTAAGGAGCAGATCTGGGTACATCTCCAAGCATTGCAATGACAAAGCCTGTGCTCTTAGCCCTTATACAAAGATTCATTCTTACCCTGTTCATTCGTTCATTCATTCATTCATCCTAAAACTCTTTTTTTAATATTTATTTATTTTGGGGGAAGAGAGAGAGGGCAGGGAGGGGCAGAGAGAGAGAGAGAGAGAGATGGAGAATCTGAAGCAAACTCATGCTGTCAGCACAGAGCCTGACGTGGGGATAGGACACTTGAACCGAGGGATCATGACCTGAGCAAAGTCGGATACTTAACCGACTGAGCCACCCAGGTGCCCCCATCTTAAAACTCTTGGCTCTGTGCAAAGTACCGGGCTCTAGGTGGGGAAAACATCAGACAAGGTTACGTTTTGGCAAGAAGCACAGATTGACCAATACACGTAGGTCACAGATTCAGCGGGTATTTACTGAGCCCTCACTATGTGCTGGGCACTGTCCTAGGTGCTGATCACTCTCTGGTTAATGAAACCGACCCAAATCCCTGCCCACATGGGGCTTCCATGGTAGTGGCAGGAGACAGACACAAAGCCAAACAAAGAAGGTAAACTATACAAAACATCTTAGTGGGCACCTGGGTGGCTCAGTCGGTGAAGAATCCAACTATGGGTTTCAGCTCAGGTCATGATCCCGCAGCTCATGAGATCAAGCCCCACATCAGGCTCTGTGCTGACTGTGCAGAACCTGCTTGGGATTCTCTTCCTTCCTCTCTCGGGCGCTCTCCCTCTCTCTCTCAAAGTAAATATATAAACTTTTTTAAAATTAAAAAAAAAAATCTCAGGAGGGGACACATGGTGTGGAGCAAGGTGTGGGACGGGGGAGGCATTGGAGCAGGAACTGAAGGAGATGAGTCCCGGGGAGGGGCACAGCTGGTGCAAAGGATCTAGGCAGGAAGGTGACTGATGTGTTCAGGGAGCACAGAGGCCACCAAGAAGGAGAGAGAAGGAGGGAGACAGGGGGAAGAAATCAGGGAGAATTGGGGGGTCCAGATCTGGTAGAGAAACCATGAAGAGTCTGATTTCTACTCCACGTGACATGGAAAGAGAGCCCTGGGGAGTGGGGATCATGTGGAGGCTGGCACAAGTTAATATTGGGAAAAAATTTTTTTAATTTTTTTAATGTTTATTTATTTTTGAGAGGGAGAGAGAGAGAGAGCATGAGAAGGGAGGGGCAGAGAGAGAGACACACACACACACACACAAACACAGAATCCGAAGGAGGCTCCAGGCTCTGAGCTGTCAGCACTAGAGCCTGATGTGAAGCTTCAACTGGTGAACCGTGAGATCATGATCTGAGCTGAAGTTGGATGCTTAACTGACTGAGCCACTCAGGCGCCCTTAAAAAAAAATTTTTTTTAACTAAACTCTATGCCTATATAGAGCTCAAACTCAGGACCCTGATATTAAGCGTCAGATGCTTCACCGACAGCCAGCCAGGTGCTCCAACATTTGAAAATCTTAAAACACATAGAAAATGGAAAAAATTGGGTGCTTGGGCGGCTCAGTCGGTGGAGAGTCTGATTTTTGATTTTGGCTCAGGTCATGATCCCAGGGTCATGGGATCAAGCCCTGTACCGGATTCTGTGCTGAGCACGGAGTCTTCTTAGGATTCTCTCTCCCTCTGCCCCTCTCCCCTGCTTGCTCACACTGTCTCTAAAATAAATAAAATGAAAAAAAAAAAGTGGAAAGAATTAGAAAGTAAATACATACACTAACCCAAGAGAGCCTACAATGAGCATTTGGTCTATTTGCTTCATGTCCTATCCATCTATCCTTTCATTTGTCCGTCCAGCAATCTATCCAACATTCTCTTTTTAAAATTTAATACACTTTCCTTTGGTGAGCAGTTTTACGTTTCCAGAAAAATTGAGTGGAAATTACAGACAGATCCCATATATCTGCCTTAAAAAAAAAATCATTTCAAAGCAATTTGCAAATATTAGCTCATATCACCCCCTAAACACTGCCGCGAGCATGCATATTGTAACAAGATATCAAATATTTGTTTAAGCTTCTTGTCCTTGGTAAAATTTAAATACAGTGAAATGCATGCATTTTCCGTGTAACCATTTGATAAATGTTGGGGAATACATACCCCCTGAATGGCACAGACTCCTCTCCTGATTTAACAGATTCCCTCTGGCTTCTGTTTGGAGAATTAACTAGTGAAGAGGGGGGCAAAGGTTCTCTTAAGCCCACCTGATTTGAGTTTTAAATGAGCTTTCCTTGGGGCACCTGGGTGGCTCAGTCGGTTAAGCTTCCGACTTCGGCTCAGGTCATGATCTCACGGTTTGTGGGTTCGAGCCCCACGTCAGGCTCTGTGCTGACAGCTCGGAGCCTGGCGCCTGCTTGGGATTCTGTGTCTCCCTCTCTGTCTGCCCCTCCCCTGCTCATGTTCTGTCTCCCATCACTCTTTCTCAAAAATAAATAAATAACATTAAAAATAAATAACCTTTTCTTTTTAGAACAGTTTTCGGTTTACAGAGAATTTGCAGTGATAGTCCGGGGACTTTCCATGTGTCCCCCAGTCAGGGCCCCCTCGCGCTACCCTCTCCCGTTACCACAGCGCACGTCTCAAAACCCAGGAACCAAAGCCACTAGACTGCTGTCAACCAAACGTGAGGCGTTACTGAGATTTAGCTCATTTTCCCTTGATGCCCCTTTTCTGTTCCAGGACCCCACCCCGGGGTACCGCCCGGCCTCTGTCATGCCTTCTCAAGTCTCCGCTGGTCTGTGATAATTTCCCAAACTTGCCTTGGGTTTTGAGGACTTTGACCGCTTTGGGGCGTCCTGGGGAGAAACCCGAAGCCAGCCGGCCGAAGTGCTTTTCTCAGCACGTCCTCTCAGAGGGGGCGGTGTGGGCGGAGGGGGAGCACGTGGATCCACTTGACTGACCACGGATGGTGCCGCCCTGGTCACCTGGCAGACAGGGACGTGTGCTGACTGCCAGGTGTCTTCACTGTAAAGCGACCCCTCCCCCTTTCAGTCTGCACAAGTCACGGAGCACAGCCCGAGGGGAGGGGAGGGGAGGGGAGGGAGAAGCATCCAGATACAGTTTTGAAGACTGTTCTGTCTCCTTCCCCTATTTATGTATTTACTTACTTATTTGTATCCATATGCACTCAGGGACGTTTATGTTTACACTCCCATACAATGTTATTTATTTCATATAAATGTATATTACGGTCCCACACAACATTGAGATCCACCTGTATCAATGCCATCGAGAGAGAATAAAGCAGGGCCGCCTGGAGGGGCTCAGTCGATTGAGCTTCCGACTTGGGCCCAGGTCATGATCTCATGGCTCGTGGGTTCGGGCCCTGCGTCCGGTTCCGTGCTGACGGCTCAGAGCCTGGAGCCTGCTTCCGATTCTGTGTCTCCCTCTCTCTCTCTCTCTCTCAAAAATAAATAAACATTTAAAAGAGAGAGAGAAAGAATAAAGCGGTGCTGCTGGAGAAGCAGGGGCTTGTGGCTCAAGCTGTGACTTTGGCTCCGTGGTCCTGGGGGGCTTCCGAGGAGGGGCACTTTGAGATGTGGTCCATAGGAGCCAGGGGACCCAGCACATGAGTCGGGAGCAGGGACGCCCTCCCCTTGCAGAGGGGCTCTGAGGCTCCCGGGCTCCAAGCCGCCGACCCACGGGCATCCAGGACCGTGGAGGCTCTGCCTTCCTCCGGGCACCGAGCCCACGGCGGGCGGTTTCCACTGCCTGCTCCCGGCCTCCTGGGGGGCGGTTTGGAATTTAGCCCTAGAGGCCAAGTCCGGGCTCTTCCTGGGCCCCTTATCTCACCACGCCCAGCACCGTGCCTGGCACAGACCTGCACCACGTACAAATTTGCTGCCACCCGCCCAGCTTCCCGAGCCCCGGCCGCCCTCGTCTCCCACCGCTGGGGCTGTGCCCAACTTGTGCCCTCCTCCCGACTCAGCTCTGTTGTCTCAAGGAGGTGGGGGGGGGGGCGGGGGGAAGAGAGGCGTTGCCGGCGCCAGACGTGGAGCCAGGGAGAGAGAAGTGACCCACCCAAGGCCGCCGGGGGGGGGGGTGCCAGAGAGAGAAAGCGAGTCCTCCCAGACTGGCCGCCTCCAGACTTCTAGTATCAGAGTAACAATTGTAGCTACTATTTACTATCACGCCCATTCTCCAGTGCACTGGCTGCTCTTCTCCGTGGAACAGCTCTGCAGGCTCGCGGCACCTGCCAGCCCTGCCCTCTCACGGCCTCGGATGGACACTTCTCTTGGCCTGGGATGACTCCCTCGTCTTTCCCTTTATGCTTCCCCTAGGAGGCCCTCCCTACCTCCTCCCGTCTCCACCGATCCCTCGTTGTAGGGCAGAATGCTCAGATGGCTCCCAAGATTCCTGCTCCCCTCCCCCCGCCCCCACCCCGGGGCACACACGCCTCCTCCCCAAGCTCACATAGGTGCTGCTGTGAAGGGGACACTGCACGTGGCGTTAAGATTCCAAATCAGGCAACGTGAATGCACCTGGAGGGCGTTATGCCCCGTGAAATAAGTCAGGCAGAGCAAGACAGGTGATGGCACTCATATGTGGGACCTAAAAACACAAAACAGAACAGAACAGACACAGGCTCATGGATACAGAGAAGAAACCGCTGGCTGCCAGGGGGCAGGGCGGCGGAGGGACGGGAGAAATAGATAAAAGGAATAAGAGGTACAGACAGATAAAAGTCACAGGGATGAACGGGGCACCTGGGTGGCTCAGTCAGTTAAGCGTCTGACTTCAGCTCAGGTCACGATCTCATGGTTCATGGGTTTGAGCCCTGCATCAGGCTCTGCATGTCAGTGCAGAGCCTGCTTGGGATTCTCTCCCTTCTCTGTGCCCCTCCCCCACTTGCTCTCTCTCTCCTTCAAAATAAATAAAAAAGAAAAAAGCTAGGGAGATGATCTTTGGTGGGCCTGGCCTAATCAGCCGACCCCATAAAACAGATGGAGAAAAGATTCAGAGCGTGAGGGGGAATTCAACAAGAGGGAGATGCTCCGTTCCTAGCTTTGAGGGAGGAGGGGACGCCACCCCAGGGAATGCAAGCAGCCTCTGAGAACTGAGAGTGGATTCTGCCCAACAAGCAGCAAGGAAATGAGACTCTCACAGTTTTCCCTGAGCAGAGAACCCAGTCACTGGTGCCTCAGCTTCCTTTTTTAAAAAATTTTTAAAAAGATTTATTTACTTCTGAGAGAGTCGGAGAGCGACCAGGTGAGGTGCAGAGAGAGAGGGAAACATAGAATTTAAAGCAGGCTCCAGGCTCTGAGCGGTCAGCACAGAGCCCAATGCAGGGCTCGAACCCACGAACCACAAGATCATGACCTGAGCCACCCAGGCGCCCCCTGGTGCCTCGGCTTCTGACTCACAGGCGCTAGGAGCTGATGGGGAGGGGGTTGGTTCTTTGAAACTGCTACGTTTGTGGTCATTTGCTACACAGCAGAGCCAACAAATGTGATCTGTTTTGTTTCCTTGATGGTACTCACTGTCTACAGTCGGTGGGTTTAATTGTTTAATTGTTTCAAATACGTCCATCTGGCTTAGTAGTTTGCCGGAGCCGCTGCAACAAAGCATCGCAAGCCAGGTGGCTTCAAACAACAGAAATGTATCCTCTCTCACAGTTGATGAGGTTAGAAGTCCAAGAGGGAGCAAGGCTGAGCTCCCTCTGAAACCCGCAGGGAGATCCTTCCTCGCCTCTGCCTGGCTCCTGGTGGTTTGCCAGCCATCTGTGGCTTGTAGACTCATCACTTTTGTACCCCACCTGCAGCTCCACGTGCCGGTGGCCTCACATGACCGTCTTCCCACCGTGTTCTGGGGAGACATCGTGGAGGAAACCGCCCGACTCCCTTATGACCTCCCCTTAACGAACTGCATCCTTGGTGATCCTATTTGCAAATGTGGTCACTTTCCGAGGTACTGGGGGCTCAACCACGTGTTTTTTTGTTTTGTTTTGTTTTGCTTTTTGGTGGGGGGCACAATTTGATCCCCAGTGCCTGCCCTGTCCGCATGTGCAGTCTACAAGCGTGCAGCTCTTGGCTGGGTATCACTGGCTTCCTAGAGCCTAGGGTATCGCCTGGCGCAAAGCAGGCGCTTAAGTTTGTTGTTGTTCTTTGGTACATCATCTGACGAACTATTTCTCAGCGACTCTCTCCACATCTTTTGGGTGAGGATAAGGCCACCACCCTCACTGTTTTCTCCTCATTTACTAATTCGTTTGGTTTACAAACTGGCCACCCACCACCCCTCGCTAGAATGTAAAGGTGCCCATGCGGCTCATCACTGGGTCCCCGGCACCCAGCACAGTGCCTGACACACAGTAGATACACAGCAAATAGCTGTTCGACAAATGACCTGAGGCTGTAACTCACCCCACCCCCACTTTGCAGAGGGGGAAACTGAGGCTTAGAAAGGGGACGTGAGTTGCTCAAGGTCACTGTCACTGCCAAACTGGCGGCAGACCTTACTGTCACTTGCCCCCTACCTTCCAATCACCTTCCACCAGTGATGCTTCCCGTTGGCTGAGCCTAGGCAGAAGCCCATCTGGTCCGGTCAGAAGGGCTCACCCGGACAGAGAGGAGACAGGTGGACGGAGGGGAGGTAGCCAGCACATGCGATCGCCTTCTGTGGGAGAATCTGTCGGGAACGATACGCCCGCAGGAGGAGTCCTCAGGCGTGGGGCTCCCACGTTCACTCAGGTCTTTCACCCCACTGGCCGGAAGGGCGAGCTACACGCCCAGCAGCAGAGCCCGGGGGTGGGGGTGGGGGCTGTTTCCCCACATCCTCAACCACTTCCTGTTTTCTGTCTGCCGAGTGGGATCTCCCCTCAGTGGTGGGCCATCGGGCCAGCAGCGGGAGCCGCCCGCCCTGGATGCAGGCAATCAGGGCGCGTCGGATATAAAACCACAGATAAAACTGGGGCGCCTGGGTGGCTCAGTCCGTTAAACATCCGACTTCAGCTCAGGTCATGATCTCACACTTGGTGAATTCGAGCCCCCTGTCGGACTCTGTGCTGACAGCTCAGAGCCTGGAGCCTGCTTCGGGTTCCGTGTCTCCTTCTCTTTCTGCCCCTCCCCCACTCACACTCTGTCTCTCTCTCTCTCTCAAAAATAAATAAACATTAAAAAAAGTTTTTTAAAAACAGGAATAAAACCAAACTAAACATTGGGTCCATGTTTCACTTAGGTCATGCCCCAGCAATGGTAAACAGTGTCCGGAATAGAGACCTCTCTGTGCAAAACATCTTTTATCGGTCTAAGTTCTGAACCTTTGCTGCTGATGTTACCATGGAGTTTTAGATATGATATATATTAAATATATACGTACATGTATATAGATACAGAATACATATAGAAACATATATATACTACGTGTATATATTCATAGATATAATTAGCATGTTTTATTTTTTTTTTAATGTTTATTTATTTTTAAGCGAGAAAGAGAGAGCTTGGGCAGGGGAGGGGCAGAGAGAGAGGGAGACACAGAACTCAAAGCAGGCTCCAGGCTCTGAGCGGTCAGCACAGAGCCCAACGTGGGGCTCGAACTCACAAACCGTGAGATCATGACCTGAGCCGAAGTCAGAAGCTCAACCAACTGAGCCACCCAGGCGCCCTGCACATTTTATTTTTTTATTCCCTATCCTTTAATAAAGTGCTGTATTGCACGTGGAAGTTAATGCAGAGAATTCCAGTTTACAGCCGGCATCGATGCATGCAGACTCCACTACATGTGTTCATTTTGATAGTAAGTTCCTGAGGACCGGATAGTCCAAGGTCACTTCAGATGCAGTCCGCATCTGTGCAGCTATGTGGTCCTGCTATATTTAAAATGGCAGTCTGGGGGCGCCTGGGTGGCGCAGTCAGTTAAGCGTCCGACTTCAGCCAGGTCACGATCTCGCGGTCCGGGAGTTCGAGCCCCGCGTCGGGCTCTGGGCTGATGGCTCAGAGCCTGGAGCCTGCTTCCAGTTCTGTGTCTCCCTCTCTCTCTGCCCCTCCCCCGTTCATGCTCTGTCTCGCTCTGTCCCAAAAATAAATAAAAAACGTTGAAAAAAAATTAAAAAAAAATAAAATGGCAGTCTGGGGGCGCTGGCGGGGGTGGGGGCGCTCAGTTGGTTAAGTGTCCAACTCTTGGTTTCGGCTCGGGATCCTCTCTCTCTCTCTCTCTCAAAACAGATAAACAAACAAACAAACAAACAAACAAACAAAAACAATAATAAAGGCAAAGAACTAGAACCTGAATAACCGGGGATCTGACCTTCTCTGTCACCCTTGCATCTGGTATCTGCGTATTCAGTTCCAAACCGAGAGGCAGAGCGCCGGCCGTGTGATGTAATATTTTTTATTTTTATTTTTTTATTTAAAAAAAAATTTTTTTTCAACGTTTATTTATTTTTGGGACAGAGAGAGACAGAGCATGAACGAGGGAGGGGCAGAGAGAGAGGAAGACACAGAATCGGAAACAGGCTCCAGGCTCCGAGCCGTCAGCCCAGAGCCTGACGCGGGGCTCGAACTCACGGACCGCGAGATCGTGACCTGGCTGAAGTCGGACGCTTAACCGACTGCGCCACCCAGGCGCCCCAGTAATATTTTTTATTGAAGTGCACCTTTGAGCTCATACCCTGACATAACGTGCTCGGCTTGAACCGACATCTCTAAAACTGCAACGTGTCCTTCTTTTCCATGTCTGATTCTTTTCAACTGAAAAAAATATAGGTAGCAAGAAAAAAAAATGACAAATGATGGTTCCTAAAAACAGTTGTGTTGTATTTAAGAGAGACACGCCCAGCAGTCACGCTCCTTAGTGTCCCCTGGAATAAGTAAAAGAAGTTACATGCACCCAATAACCCCTACACGGATGTGTGCGGCAGCTGTATTCAATGTTGCCGTTGGCAAGAATCGGAGAGACGCTTCAGTAGGTGAAGGGGCAAACAGGGCCCCTCCGGACAACGGGATGTTATCCGGTGCTAAAAACAAATGAGCGATCAAGTCACAAAAAGCAGGAACCTTAAATGCACAGTTCCGAGGGGTAGAAGCCAAGCTGAAAAGGCTTCCTACATACAGGACGGGTCCAACTGTAGGTCGTTCTGGAAAAGGCAAAACTGGAGACAGTGACCCCCCCCCCCCCCCCCCCCCCCCCCCCCAGCACAGAGGGCTTTTAGGGCAGTGAAATTACTCCGTGTTGTACTGTAATGTACGTATCAGGACGTGTGTCCAAACCCTACGACGTCCAACCCTAAGAACAAACCCTAAACTGTAGACTTCCCATGATTATGACCAGTCAACGAAGGCCATCAACTGTGACAAATGTACCCCCTGGTGGGGGATTTGCTAATGGGGGGGGTGCATGAGTGGAGGCAGGAGGGCGACGGGAAGTCTCTGTATCTTCCTCTCATTTTGCTGTGAACCTAAAACGGCTCTAAAAACTAAAGTCGATTAATTAAAAAAAAAAAAAAAGGAATTAAAAAACCCCACAAATCAAGAAAACGAAGCTGATGGTTATTCTGTGATTATTGCTGAAAATAGGTGTGCTGTGTACAGGAAGAGGGGAAGCTCAACTGAGCTGGGTGTCCACTCTGCCCAGTTCACTGGGGCCTCGCTGGGACACGTGCTCCGCCAGAGCACGGGCTTTGTTCGATTCCCTTATCGAGATATTATTCTCATACCACACATTTCATCTACTGAGAGAGAGAGCAGGAGAGGGTCAGAGAGAGAGGGAGACACAGAATCGGAAACAGGCTCCAGGCTCCGAGCCATCAGCCCAGAGCCCGACGCGGGGCTCGAACTCACGGACCGCGAGATCGTGACCCGAGGTGAAGTCGGAAGCTTAACCTACTGAGCCACCCAGGCGCCCCTGTTTTAATTGGAATCCCAGATAGGACGGGCCTCTGCTCAGAGGCCTCCTTCTCCCCAACCCGTTGTCCCATCAGGACTTTTCAGAATCACCTCTGGGCCCCACTCTGTCACCTCCATGAGAACAGATAACACCTTGTTTCATGATTGCTTACATCCGTGTCCAGGCCACTTTCTAGACTCCTCCCCCCCCCCCCCCCCCCCCCGCAGGGACAGAACCCATCTGCTGGGTTTTGCTCCAGCTCAGTCCCCGGGAAACGCGTGTTGAATTTGAGTGGAAACGAGAACTCAGCAACCTTGACGTGCATCGGTCCCAAGCTGCTGGCCTGCAAACATCTGTACACCCCAGAGCGGCTGGGGGAGGGGGTGGGGGTGACAGGTGGAGTCCAACTGTGCCGTTGACCCCGAGCGAGCGGGACACAGAGCAAGAGATTTAATCTCTGTGAGAGTCTCCCTTCCCTCAACTATAAAACGGAGCTAATAATAGGGCCTACCTTTCCCGACTGCTGTGAGGATTAGCACAGGGGCTGGTAATACACAGAGTTCAGTAAATGCTGCTATAATTATCGTTAATCACGCGGGATTTACGACGCCATTACAAGTGCACCCCGGCCATCCGTCAGTCTCATTCCACACACATTTCCTGAGGACAGGGCGAGAGAATCCAGCGGGCTCCAGGGGACCGTAAGTGCAACTCTGGTGTCGGGTGCGATAGGGCGGGGCGGCAGATAAGATGCAAATTCCAACTCCAGAAGGGCTCAGAGGCCAGGCTGGGGAGCTTGGACTTGATCCCAAGGGTAATAGGGAGCCATGGGAGGCTAATGAGAAGGAGAGGGACAGTCTCTGGGTATCAGATGTGTTTGGGGTGGTGGGTGAGACCTCCAGGGGGGAGAGACAGGAGGCCAGGAGGAAGGTGGTCCATATATGGTCCACATAAGTGAGGGACCTTGGCCTGAAGCCCCGTAGACATGGAGAAAGCAATGATTTTTAACCCATGGTCTCTAGACTTCTAGAGAGATCCAGCAGGGTCAGTAATCCTGGATGCTGTCTGCCAAATTGTGCCTCCGTTCTTCCAATAGTAAAAGAAGAAACAAGGCAAAAATAATTTTGATGTTTTATTTCATTTAATTTAGTGTCTCTTTGTTACTGGGGTTACTTGATACATACAGTTGATTCTCCGTATTCGTGCCGGTTATGGTCTATAAAATGAATGCTGAATTAGTGAATGTGGAACCATTGCCCCCCGGGGTGGGGATACGGGATTAGGCTCCTGGGAGCCCAAGTCATAGTATTTTCGTTAACGGATCAACACGCAAGCTTGTTTTACGTGTGTTCTGTGTAAAGACGCCTCACATCCGATATATTGTTGATTCGCTAACATTTAAATCCCAGCCACCAGCCCAGGGAACTCGTGCCCCCGAACGAAGCTTACCTAACACAGATATTTCTCTGAAAGGCACATCACAGCCTCCTCGAGCTCAGGAGCACCAGACAGCACTACAGCGTTGTGTTTGGGGGCCAGTTTAAACCGCAAAATCAGCCACGAAAGGCACCAGACTGCGGACAATGTGGCACTAACCAGGCTGCAGAAAGGACACGTTAACAGGGCGAGAGGTGAGGCAAGAAGGCAGAGGGTCTCCGTGCACCGCCACAGCTGGAAACGTGGGTGTCGGTGGCTCAGATCTTTCGCAGCCCCGCACCCGCCCATCAGAGTGCCGGGACTTGACATGAGGGCTACAGAAAATTTTTAGGGAGTAGGCGAGTTTGCAAACACGAAATCCACGATTGGCGCAATCGACCGTACATCCCAAACATTATCAGGTCATCATGCAATTAATATGA